TTGTTCCCCATTTCTTGTGATATGGCACATTCAAATATTAAAATAAGTCAATCTAGAAAAAAAAGTTATATAAAATATTAAGTAAAAGTTAAATAAAATAATTGTTTTTAAAACTTGTAACCTTCCCTGTTGAAAAAAAAACTGCATATGCTGGTTAGGTATGTTTTGAAGCATGGCAGCTGGTTTGAGCTGGTTTAAGTTGGTCCTTAGTTGGTCATGTGTTGGTTTAAGCTGGTCCTGAGCTGGTTATAATCTGGTTGTGAGCTGGTCCTAAGCCAGTCCTAATCAACTAGCTTCTGCTCATAACCAGCTTATAACTAGCTCAGGACCAGCTTAAACCAGCTGTCATGTTTCAAAAAATACCTAACCAGCATATGCTGTTTTTTTTTTTCAACAGGGTTGATATTGACTGAAACATGCTGTTTATATTAAAGACAAATTATATCATCGTTTGGCTCTCAAATCAGTATAAACGTGGACCACTGAGTTCATAGATCCCACTGTTGAGCATCAACACTATTTCAATTAAAAAAGGTATTTGAGTGATTTATGTTTGTAAGCAAAACTGCTTAAAGGTAGTAGGAGCATCCTTTAATAAGACAAAATAGCTGCAGAAGAAACACTTACCAACGACCCCTGGCAGTGTGTTGGCCTCTAGGTCCAGCATGATGGTGCCCTTCTCTATACACGTCCTAAGCTCAAAGAGACTATGTAGGGACAGAGTGGCCACATGTGGTTTACTCCACCGCTCCCCACCTTTTTCCACCTTCTCTTCAAACTTGATCCACCTTCGAAGAAAAAACAACAGACATTTGAAGGTACTGAAGTTGGAATGTGAACAGTTCTGTATGAAAGTGCAACTGCAAGTCAAATGAACACTGATTTATTGATTTTGGTGCTCAAGAAACATTTCTTGTTATTTGTAACAATGAAAATGTATTTGAATTTCACTTTTGATCATTGTCATATGTCCCTGCTGAAAAATAGTATTATTTTTTTTAAGGAAAAAAAATCTTACTGACCTATAACTTTTTAACGGTAGTGTATCTTTGTAACTCCACTATATATATTCTTAAATCTACCATATCAGAAACAAATACCAGTCCCAGACATGAGACTAGAATCTAAAGCAGCCCTCATATTCAACTAAAAATGAAAAGTTGCGATTTTCTAGGCCGATATGGCTAGGAACTATACTCTGAAAATAGTCCCCAGCTAGGTAACTTCCAGATGACCCTGCTTGAAAGGCTTTAATATGTAATCCTTAATCCTAAAATACACAAACAACGGGTAATCTTATCTCTAAAACAATCTCTCAAATAAAATCTTGATTGGAAATGAAAAGATCAGCAGTAATCATCCTTGTACTTAATTTAAATGCCCGCTGTGGCATGTGATAATGGCCGCTGATTGGGGACCACCTGGAGTGCCACTCAACTTTACATGAAACTGCCCCTCTCATTGAATGATCAAATCCTTTCGAGAGCAGCACAGCTCCAGAATTGATGTGTGCTGCATGCAAGACTCGTCTTTTATCAGAGACCAAGCTGTCTGCTCAAATGAACTCACGATCACAGGAATTTAAAGCAACAGTTACTGTTCAATGATCGGATGTGCCTTTAATGGATAAACAAGTCAACTGGAAACATATGCGCATTTTCAACTTTCTTCACACCTTATCCCTAAAGATTAATCGGGTTGGATTCATCCCTTTAGACACTGTCAAGTGTTTAAAATGTCTTCGCATACTGGCACCAAGCAGTCACTGGCAATGAGTCAGTACACTTGAATCTTCTTTTGATGAATTGTATGGTGCCTGTGTAACAAGTCTGAAAGAGTCATTAAAACGGTCTTTTTTTAAAACAGAACGATTTGGAGGAATTAAATAATAACTAACTTTAATATAACTGCTTTTTTATTTTAATGTCTTTTAACATGTAATTTATTCCTGTGATGGCAAAGCTGATTTTTTTTAGCAGTCATTACTCCAGTCTTCAGTGTCACATGATCCTTCTGAAATCATTCTAATATGCTGATTTGCTGTGATACATTTTCTTTGCTGTGAAACTACATTCTTTTTTTTGCAATTTTTTTCTTTGATGAATATAAAGTAGAAAAGAACGACACTGACATATTAAAACACAATTTGGGCAAAACCAGAGATAAAATAATACTATTAGACACAAGTTATCAAGCTTTTTTTCAAAACCTAGTTCCTGCTAATAATACAGGCTCTTATATTTCTGGTCTGTTTTTGAGCCTCATTTAAAGTTCCAACCAAGCCATGACACTCTTACCTGGCAGTTTCCTTCCACTCCATCTCCTGGCCATCAACAGACAGTAGCTCGTCCAGCTCTGTGAAGAGCTGAGGGGGTGCTGGACTGTCATCATCCTCTCCCAGAATGAATCGAATGCGCTCAGCAGCAGGTGAGACTGCAACAGGAAAAATACTGCGGGTCAGAGGAGAAGGTACAGTCCTGCATACTTCCGGCTTGCCATCATCACTTATTCCATTAGGCCTGATCTCCAGCTCTGGCGGAGGAGGAATCTTGACCACAGACAGGTCTGAATCTGGGTCCACATCCTGCTTGGAGTCAGACTCCATCTTCTCCTCCTCTCCAACCTCACTCTTCTCCACATTATTGTTCTCGGTCGTGTTCTCCGGGTTGCTATCTGATGCATCCATCCTAAAACCCAGTTAAAAAACAGTTCTGTTCCCCAGAGCACGATCAAAGCTGGTGAAGATGGCTGAGAGAGGGAGGGAGGTCAAAGACACGAGACCTCACGCAGCCAGCTGCACTCAGACCGTCATTAGAGCCCTTCGTGTTGTCTGCTATCCTGTACACCCTACTCTAACACAGTGACACCTAGGTAGTTAAAAAAGGGGGTCCCCACTTGTCACCCCAGAGCAACAGCCCGCCCATCGGCTGCTCCGGCTGTACCCCCTCGCCATTGGTCCTCCGACATTGGCACCCTGCCCTGAGCCCCTCATTAACAATTAGGAAATGTTTCACAAACTGTTCATTCTTCACAAGAGGGCCTCGCTTTCCTTCTCGCTTGTTTTCTAATTTGAATATTTATTAGTTCTTGTGGAACAAAGTAAACTGTAATGTTTAATCTAAATAAAGCCCCTCTCGTCTAACTCCCATATTAAAGTTTCATCATCAACACTGGCAAAATCTGGCAGTGAAATTCCCTGGAAAAATGTAAATGTTATTTTTATATCAAATTAGTTATTTCTACCTCACCTAAACCTAAAATGTACTTTTATTTGTGTAGAATAATGAATTCAAGTTGACTCAGTCATTTTAATATTGTTGTATAAAAAATATTGACTAAAAAATGTAAAACATTATGCATATAATCTACAGTAGATGTTACCATATGAAGTGCATTTTAACATCACTCATTTTATAAGTACATATATATATATATATATATATATATATATAATGGAGAAAATGGAAAATTGCAATGGGAAAAAAATGCTCACTATAGGCTAATAAACACTAACAATTTGTGAATAAACACTGAAATGTATATAATTTGCATAATTTAATCAACCAAAAGAGAACAGACTGGAACATTTTTTAATTTTTTCAAAAAATTATTTAAGGTGAAACATCATGGTGACTATAAATCTTTCACTATTATTCAGTAAATGTTCACTAAAGATCCAGAACATGGCAGCAAGATACATTTTTAATGAGCCAAAAAAGAATGCATGTCACACCTCTGTTTATCAGTTTGCACTGGCTACCAATAGCTGTTCGCATAGAATTCAAGGCATTACTGTTTGCCTACAAAACCACCACTGGCTCTGCACCCCTTTACCTAAATTCATTACTTCAGACTTATGTGCCCTCTAGAAGCTTGCGTTCTGCAAGTGAACGGCGCTTTATTGTGCCATCCCAAAGAAGCACAAAATCACTTTTACGGACTTTTAAATGAAATGTTCCCTCCTGGTGGAATGACCTGCCCAACTCAATCCGAGCAGCTGAGTCCTTAACCATCTTCAAGAAACGACTAAAAACACATCTGTTCCA